ATAAGCTCAGCTAACAGCTCTCCTCTTAAGCTAATAATGTTCAAGCTAATAATGTCAGATGGTTTCCCAATGAGGTACAAAGAAATGAAGAGACACCCACCGAATCTCCAGAAGGGACCTCTGGAGATCATCTAGTCCAAACCCCCTGCTAAAGCAGGGTCACCTAGAGCAGGCTGCACAGGACCCCTCTGCCTCCACACTCTGGCCAAATCTGGCCAGGATCACTCAAAGACCAATGCCCCATGGTGCACTCCCACATCAAGCTGTTCCTTTTTCCAGCTGCCCTGCACACTCAGTCTTCCAGATATGATAAACATTTCCATAGTTCTTACAAGACATACCCGTGCCACTGAAGTTGAAGTGCAAGGAAGGAAAATTATGACAGTAATGAGGGACTTCTTGTTTTTATTACTTCCCCTCCTTCTTTCCAGTTACATCCAAGTAATAAAGATTGACTTCTGGCAGTATCACTAGTGCACCAGGCCAGCAGTACTTATTAGTGCAGAGCTTCCCAAACTGTGGTTCACAAACCATCAACAGCAGCAAAGCCAGAGCAAGAGACCCACAGCTGGTCCCTGGAATCAGATTAAATAGGTTCTTGGGTTTTTTCCACACACATGTTGGTGCCTTCACTAGTGCTACCTGCCACTTCCTTGGCTCTGTGTTACCATACATTTCAGATTTGCCCTTCATGTCTCGGAAGCCAAGATACATCATTCCCAGGGCTGTATCAGTTGGGAAGTTTATATGGACCAAATGGCAAAGCAAAGCAAAGTGCCTTGCCTCATCTCTTTCGGCAGGAAGGTGGAAAGCAGAGCTCCAGCTACTTGTCCCAGCCATAGTGTGTCCAGTGGATGGTAACTTACAAGTTTTCAAGCTACAAGAGAATATTCCCCTGGGTCTTTGAGAGCCTATTTGCCGGAATGAGAGTCTTCAGATACCATTTTGAAGACTCTGACTTCTTTATAGTGCATACAACTTTAGTATGTCTCAACAATGGAAAGGAGACACATGCATAGAAATGATTAATGGTAAGTTTGATGAATAATAAACTCCTTTGTCTCCTTTCTTTTTGTTGCTGTCTCCTCTCTATAATTAGTCTTCTAACAACTGCATTTTGCAAATTCTGTGCTTTACTGAATTTCTCCACAGCATTACCTGAAAATACAGATATAGGTGTTCAGTTCTTTGATAGGTAAATTTCTACCAATCTAGCTACTTTTCTCTAGCACAGGATCTCTTAAGGAAAGCAAGAGCCACTGGAAACACAAGTACAGTTCTGTGCATTTCCTTTTTTGAGTCTTAGAAGTTAGGGGGTTAGAAGTCAAAGAAAGTGGGAATGCTGGCATAAGCCAAATGGGATTAAGGAGATGACATTTTTCTTTCTATAGCACTCTCACAGCCCTTAGGACACATCCTACTTTTTTTCTAACAAAAAAAGAGGAGGGAAGCAGAGCCTTGGATTACAAGCAGAGAAAGAAAATAGTTCATTTTACTGACTGTCATAAAGAAGCTCTGATGTTTGGAGGACAGAATGTGGAAAACAAATGTTCTTCCACAGGTATTTCACAATGAAATACAAATATTTCATCATGAAATAAAAATATTCTGCTTTTGCAATCATCTGAAGTGATCTTCAGTCTCGACGGCTCAGCAATTCAACAAAAGAAAATTGAAGTCCATAAAAATGAATGAAGTCAGGCAAGTATTATGTGTCAGGTGACAAAAGTTATTTCAGGAGCTTACAAACCAGTGCAGTGATACAATGATGGCTCCTCTGCATCTGGCAATATTCCAGGAAACAGCCTCTGAATGGCAATTCCCATTAGAGCGGCAGCGCTGCTGTCTAACAATGTTTTGTCTATGTTGCAGTACCTTAATACCCCAAAGTAGCTGCAAATGCACCAAGACCAATTTGCACAGGACTCTTCATAGAGAAAAGAGCTACTCAAGGACTATCAGATTTTTTCACACACTAACAGCTGCTGGTCTGCTGTACCAATGGACTGATTCAGCACTAATACTGACAAGACACCTCAGCCTCTGACTCTTCTGAAGGAGGTTTGTGTTCCCTTCAACCGTCAGAAAGAGAAGAAATTTTCTCTGTTTTCACAGTTCTACGACAACTTTTAAAAACTTTACAGCATGAGCACAGCACCTAATCCAATAAAGCTTGCTAGGAACTTTTAAAATCAAGGTCTCTGAGATTTTGTTTCCTGTAAATTCACTAGACTTGTAAGAAAAGGGTCTTTTACTCAGAAATGCAGCACCAATCCCACCGGAGTTGCACAGGGCTGAGGACTATTTTTCTGCCACACTGTGAGAAAGATAGCTGAAAGTACTGGGAAATAGGCTGTAGGGATGCACAAAATGGACTGGAGTTAATGAATAGGAACAGGGAGAAGAAAATGAAAATATGATTTCTGAAGGAAATCAAAGCATTTGCTCAAAACAGAAAACCAGGAATAACTCATAATAGGCATTTAATTCATTTAATGCAATGACCGCTCTCTATACATTGAAATAACTGCAGTTTTTATTTGGAGGTCAAAGTATGAAAAAAACAATTCCTCTTCCTACTTACTATTATCTGTCACTAACCAACTACCTAGCAAAGGGTGGAAGGGAAAGGTGGAGACAGCAAAACTTCCATGAGCATGTATGCAAAGAGAAATCCTGTGTTCTTGCAGAGATGCTTCTCCTTTAATTTCATAAAGTAAAACATGCCAGAAAACTGACAACTTGAAAAACAAAACAGAAGCACCATCAAACTGTAATCATTACAAGATATTTTATCACTAGAAATGGAAATTTTTTTCTGCTTTTACTAAAGATAAGTCAGCTTAAGTCAGTACTTTTTAAAATCACTTCTTTTTAGCTACTTTCTCCACTTGTGAGAAGGTGAAGAGCTGCATCTATTATCTCTACATGCTGTGCAAACCTCATTTGGACATGATCATCATCAATCACTCCTGCTGTGCAGGTAGCATGTGAAAGGGAAACAAAACAGAAATCGTGTTGCAGTATTTGACACCACCCACTCCCCAGCTCGTATGCTCTAGCTTACGAAGAGCCCAACTGGCATATGGTTATTCTCTCTTTTTTGGACCCCTGTTTTTTCTCTCCCTCCAAGCATTTGAGAATAGCTTTGATGGTTTCAGGGAAACAGCAAAAACCTTTCTTTCTCTCTCAAAAAGGATTAAGGCTTTCTTAATGAAAAGCATGCCAGAGATATATTATTATGTGCCATCTTGCCTTTTTAAGTACACACACATTACTTTGTAGTTTGCAAGTACACACACATGACTTGCAACAGCATCTCTTCTTATCATACGCATATGCTTCAGTGGCAGATTAATATTGTAAAAGGAATCAGAATGCAGTTGAGTATCCTTTGTGACAGTGCCATGCAGAGTCCTGAAAAGAGCTATTAACGCCAGCATCCTACTGCATTTCTCTAGCAAACACTTCAGCTAGCTATACTCAGTGCTATAACCTCGACCAGGGACAGTCAGTAGAGGCACAAGGCTTAAAAGAGCAAGAAAGATAGCATTTGTCTTTTTCAGAAAGGTCTGGAGTAAGCTGCAATAAAATTTAGGCAATATTTAAGAATGCAGAAGCAACCAGAGTCAGAGTTGAAAGACAGACTGCAGCCTTACCAACACTCTACCTAACATCTTGACTAGGGAGTAAGGAGAGCACCCTCCTTGTTTCATAGCTTTGGTTAGTACCCTACCCATCCAGTGGACTTGCACTAGTTCACCACATCCTGACTCCTTGGTAAGACTCAGGTCAGCAGAAGTTGCCTGCACTTTCTGTTTTCTGATGCACCAGCACTGCAGCATGCCTGGTTTTAAACAGCTGTACAGCAGCGCACACTAGAGAACAGCTCTTTCTATCTCACAGCCCTCCGTGTACCTCCGACAATTCACGAGAGCACGATCAGTAAAACAGACATGGTAATATCCAACTGCAAATACACACCCCCTCTTTAAGTGCCAGGAGAGAAGTGGTGCCACTTCACAATACCCCTTATTTCCCTCAGCATGTTAATAAACCATTCCAGGAAGAACAAGGCATTTAAAGGCACCTCCTGAGGACCTTGCAACAGACCCTCCCACATATGAATCTAGACGGGAGCCTTTGAACTAGAAATCACTTCCTGCCCTCCCCTAGCAATCACGCTACTCCCTTTTTTACAGGACAAACAGCATTGGTAACCTAAAGCCTCCACTGAGCTCTTCAGACTCCGTCCACAGCCTATGCTCCATTTCATGGCAGCGAAATGACAAACCAGCCTGCTGTTGACAGCCACTTCATTTACTAAAATGATGATGTGGAGATGGATGCTCCTGTGTCCCATCACAGTGTCCACGCATGCCTCATAGTGATTTGACAAGCTCTTGCCACAGAGTAGCAGCCCCAGAAAAAGTCTGGAGGGCTCTGGTCTCCCTCCACCCTTCAGAGCCATGTCTTCAGGAGGGAATGGCAACGCTAGGACCCATCACTGACTGCGACAGAGAATGACCGCCTCGAGATTCCCAATACAGGCTTTAACATTGTGATGTACCAAGTGTGCCACCTGCGATACAACAATGGATGTAAGCATGTGCTCGACCGCAAAATCATGAATGGCCTCAGTGACTTCTCTAAGACTATGCATGACTTTTGAGGCAAGCACACGCAAGAGTGAAAGATTAGGGCAACAAAAGGAGTATACGACTCTCACCGGAACAAAGTGATGAAGGCATTCACGTAACTGACCTCTATAAAACACACTCTTTTGCCCTATGTCACGGTTTTGAAACACAGCTGAAGGCCAGGAAGTGAGGGGGTGAAGGAAACCCTCAGCAGGTTGTCCACCAAACAGGTAGCCTAGGCACCACTTCGTTCAATTTCCAAGTTTAAACTTCTAAGTTCAAGCGCAGCAACAAGTTCACCTTCCGTCTTGATAAGCAGACACAAATGCAACTGCCTCGCAGTTTCAGACATGTACTCACCCAGAAGAGAAGGTTGAAGACAAACATTAGGTACTTGATACACTGCAAGCAGTTGTGAGCCATGCTGCACCTCTTCAGTTCTAGGAGAAAAATAAACGAGAGATCCAGGTAAAAGACAACGTACTTGTTTCCCTTGGGGGACGTGTACTTAGCCTTGGTGGCCTTAGGGCCTGGGTTGGTGTGGAATCCAAAAAAAGAGTTGCTGGCAGCCCCGAACTGGCCACCATACATGCTGCTGTAGCGACGAAAGGTGCCATTTGGGAAACTGTAATCCTTGCTGTCCAGGGAAGGGCTCCTGTGATAGGTCGACTCATCGGTGCTAGACCTGCGCATGGTGGCTTCGGTTCGTCCTGTCACAACTGCTGCTCTGACAGTCGTCGGATGCCAAGGGTACGGGTGAAAGGTTTGCGATTTTCTTTCCTCCTCCTCGCTATGAATCCCCTATTGCTTTGCACCAGCTGTTCTTTTGTCTGCCATCCTGTCAAGGCGTTACACGTGCTGTACGGCAGCAAAGTTGGTGAAGTGAAGTCTGCTTAGCCAGGAGTTAGGGAGCAGCGTGCTTCCACATGAGAAAGACTTCTGCACAAGTACACATTGCCTCCGGTGTCACGATCGTCCCTCCCGGCCCACCCCACTACCAGAGAAGACAAAAAGAGAGGTATACTGTACCCAAAGCAATGAATTTTAAAAAAAGGAAGCGTGACCTCGCTTGGCTCGCAAGTGCCATATAAAACCCCAGCTCCGCATG